TCAATGAGCTGTTACTGCGTTCAGTTTGCACAGGAATACAGGTAAAGCTCATCAATCATGGTCAGGCAGTAAGGATCAAACAATAGATAACATACAAGGAACTTAAAGGGCTTATTCTAAGTCAAGATCAGATAGCTAAAGGGCTATAAAACTTTGGGAAACAAACTCATTTCATGCTTGGACCCTTATTAGAAAATTGAGGGCATTCTTAGCAAAGCATGTTTTACAGGATTTTATGCATTCTTTCTTAGGCCTGATCTCCCTGGGGAAACGCCTGTTCCTGCCCAGGGCCACACTGCCCTCTGTCATTGTTCCAGGCTTAAGTCAGGCAGGGGGAGTAAGGCAGCCAAGAGATTAGGAGACTTCTTGCATGAGACTTCCTGAATGAGGACTCAGGCTAGGTCAAAACCAAGGGGCAAGGGTCCATCACTCCCTTTTTATATCACCCCCAAGTCCTTCCCTGAGGGCACCTGTATGACTGTGCCTGTCTTAGGTCATCCGTCCCTTGAGGAATCTTACCCCATCACTGGCTAACCAGTCATCTGCCCGGGGCTAAGCAGGGTAAAGTAAAAGGGGGCAGAGGCCGTGGCCCTGCCAGGAAGATAAGCTTTGTCTCCTAAGTGGCTTATGGTCCCCAGGTCTCTTACTCAGCCTTAGCCACGGGGGGTGGGGGTGGGGTGGTGGTGGTGGTGGTGGTGGTGGTTACAGCTTCTGAAACCAGGCAGGGTGGTTCCCAACACTCGCACAAATGCATCACTACTTCACTACCTTGAGAATTATTAACTCCTGGCCAATCATGTTTTTTTTTTTTTAAATCTTCACCCGAGGATGTTTTATTGATTTTAGAGAGGAATGAATGTGGGGGAGGGGGAAGAGGGAGAGAAACAACATTATGAACAACATTGTTCAGTTGCCTCCTGTACACACCTTGAGAGGGAATTGAACCCATAACTTTTTGGTGTACCAGACGATGCTCCGACCAACCGAGCAACCCAGCCAGGGCAGGCCAATCACGTTTTATCTATAGAGCCCCATATTCAACATCCCCTAATCTGGATAATTCTAAAGCAAGTCTCAGGCATCATATCATTTCAGCAAGGTTTTATTTTAATACAAATAATGCAGAAAGTAACAGAAAAGAACTTACACAACAGAAATTGACAGGAAAAGTGATAAAATAATAGTTTATGAATATAAAAAGAAAATGACATTTGAAAGTCTCCTCGTATCTCTAGCCTGTTAGCTGCGTCTTAAGGACTGACAAACGCTGTGCCTCTGGTCTGGGCTAGCTGAGGTGTCACAGAAGGCTTAGTTTCATAGGTAATAAAACCTTCTGAAGTAGAGTTCTTATTAGGGGGGTAGAGGGGTGGTAAATGAAATCACTTAAAAAAAATCTTTGATTCTAATGGGTACCGAGACAACAAATGGCAGATTTCTTTTTAAATTTTTTTCCAGTTTCACTGAAATATAATTGATGTGTGGTAATTATATATATTTAAGGTATACAAGTTGATGTTTATATATATGTGTGTGTGTGTATGTATACACACACACACATATATAATGAGATTATTTTTATAGTTCAGCTAATTAATATGTCTATCACCTCATGACCTCAGGGATAGTTCTTTTTTTTTTTTGGTCAGAATACTCAAAATCTATCCTCTTGACTTAGATTTAGGGTTTAAACCCAACTACTAGTTATATGACTTGAGAGAGATTCCTAAAATTTCTCATCCATCATCTGTAAAATGGGATAATACTACTATTTTTGAATATTAAATGAGACAAGATATAATGTGCCAAGAATAACCTGGTACACACCAAGTGTGGTAATGACTACATGTACTGACATGATCAAGCATTATTATTATTTTTTTTAAGGATTTTATTTATTTTTAGACAGTGGGGAGGGGAGGGAGAAAAACATCAATGTGTGGTTGCCTCTCACATGCCCCCTACTGGGGACCTGGCCTGCAACCCAGGCATGTGCCCTGACTGGGAATCGAACCAGTGACCCTTTGGTTAATAGGCCAGTGCTCAATCCACTGAGCCATACCAGCCAGGGCGACATGATCAAACATTATTAACAAAAGACCAAAAGTAACCTCCTGGACAATAGTTTCTAACCTGAAATACCTAAATTCCTAGAGCATATGAAAGTAATAATGGGGCAATCTTGCAGTTGTAGCTTAACATGTTTTTCTAACGGGTTTCTACTAAGTTCTTGAATTTCAAAATAGTTTAAAAATACAGCCCTGGCTTGTGTAGCTCAGTGGATTGAGCATGGGCCTGTGAAGCAAACGGTTGCTGGTTCGATTCCCAGTCAGGGCACATGCCTGGGTTGCAGGCCAGGTCCCCAGTAGGGGACATATGAGAGGCAATCACACATTGATGTTTCTCTCTCTCTCTCTCTTTCTCCTTCCCTTCCCCTCTCTCTAAAAATAAATAAATAAAATCTTTAAAGAAAAGAAAAACAGCTATCCAGTAGATCTATATAAAGGTAGATCTAGAAAATAGTCAAAGTAAATTAAATTGCTTGTTAATCTATTCTAAGTGGGTGAAATAAAAATGAAATACAAAATTTGCATTTGTAGTCCAAGATCAAAGGTCCTATTTTAATATTTCTTCTGAGATGTCTTCAGTGCCTTTACCTATTTGCTCAGAATGATTAAATAAACACTGTCTGCAAGAAACTGTAGGGGAGGTCCTTTAAAAATCAATGAAACAGGGCATCCAGTCCTCGTCTTCCCTCAATAACCTTTCTGTTAATATGATACTCACTTCCTAAAAAATCCTGAACAAATTCTAAACTTCAGTGCCTTCTATATATCTATTCAAACTTTATCATCAGTGTAGATAGTTGACAAACTCATTTTCCCCCCTTTGGGATGCATGGTTTTGTGACAGACATGACAATGCACCTAAAAAATAGACATCTCTCTCTTCATTACTAAGAGGGATTCAGAGTTATTCTACTTTGGTCTTGGTATTTGGCCCAAATTCTCTTTTTGATAAAGCTTTTAGTTAAGTCTTCAAAAGACCTAGATCGATTTGAGCATCACTTGTGGCACTCCTAAACTTGTATGTGATCAATGATCTTGTGATTGTATAACTTCATGATATCTAATGAGTGTAACAATCTCAGTAATTAGAACAATCATGTCATTCAGATTTACTGTCATGAACTGAACATTCACTTTCAGATATAAACATTACCTGAAGTGAAGTGAAAATATCCTTATGTGTTTATCAGTCAACAGCAGAATAAAATGCTGCAGCAATTAATGTTTGTAAAAATTGTTAATTTTATGTATAAAACAGTAAAATAGTCAATTATTTAGCAAAACAGACAATACTACTAATATATTTAATAAGTTACTTTCTCAAGAACATTGTATCTTAGAAAAAATGTTTGTAAAAATTCAAATAATGTAAGAGAAAATAATGATTAGATTTTATCATAATTCAATCTTTGCAGAACTATATTATGTACTAGCATTTATATTATAAAAAACAACATTTAAGAGCTGTATTTAAATTTTAATTAGTTATTTCCATTTAAGTCGTAAGTCTTTCAAGAAAAAAATCCTATTGGGAAATCTTTCACATCTTGTGATGATGAATTAAAAACAAGTCCCCTCAAAATATCAAGAGTTAGAAAAATACACAGATCATGTAAACAACAGATATGCAATGATGTAAATACAATCTCTAATCAAAATAATAAAAAAATGTAAAGAGAAAACTGTTGGAGAAAATTCAGATACCCCAGACATACCTTCTTTAGTCGAACCTGACAATAAAGACCCTATAAGAACCTGTTAAGACAACTCCTACAGTCTTGAGATGGCTTAATACTTAAAATTTTAAATGTTATACATGATCCTTTTCTGTATCTGATAGAAAAAATTTCAAGATTTGCCTAAATTATGAATTCTAGTTCCTTGTAGTAAATACCTTATTGAAAATACCTTACCGATATTAAGTGTGCTAGCTGAAAGTTAATGTATATTTGGTATTTCTGATAACAGCAAGAGAAATCTAACAATTCAAGTGTGAAGAAATTCTTCATGCGCTATACTTTTAAACTGTTAAAATCTTTCTACCACTGTTGATAACAATAAACTGTAACAATAATTTATTATTATAATAATAAATTATTATAATAATTTTCACCCCAATAATAATTTTTGAGGTGAAATGATTCATCTACCCTAGAAGTTCATTCTATGTTAGTGCTATCTTGCTTTAGCCATAGTCAAATATTGATTTTAATAGTTGGTCATTGGCATTTGGTCAAAATGTGTACTGGGTACACCTCTAATAATAGAGATTTAGAAGCCTATGTTTCTTGGTAGAGAATCTAGTCTTAGCCTAGTTGAATATTTTTACCTTGGTAGTTTCAAAAAAATCTTGACTGCTCTACTTCACAATTAATATTCTTTTTTCTTCATTCAACAATTAATATGCTCTAATCTTTCCTTCTTTGTACTTCTTATCTGTTCCACACAATTCAATATTAAATTGTCCACTGTTTTGTACTGTTCCCTGTTCTCACTTTACCTTCTCACAGGAAAGTCCTTCCCTGAGGATACATAATTTAATATTGCACAATATTTCTTTAGTATTGTCCATGGTGCCTAGCACAGTCCTTGTCATTTGATAGGTATTTACTAGTTCACTAAGATCCAGGATGTTGCTGGCTAACCATCTTGTGTCTTAATATCATTTTCCTTCATAGTTTTAGGTTTTTCTATAAATAAACTACCCTAAGCTAAATATATCTGTTTGAACAAATAAGGGATTACATTTAATAAAAGACAGGTAATATTGTTTAGTGGTGGAGAAAAATAGACATGTATTTAGATCTTTATTTATATACAGGTACTGCAAGCTAAGTCACTTTCTTCATGCCTTAGTCTCCCTATTGATTCTGCAAGGCAACTGCATTAAAGTTAAAATAACTGAGGAAAAAAAACAGTAATATTAACACCAACCTGAAAGTTCGAACAAGATTTTTAAGTTGTGTGTAAATATCTCCTAATGTAATCTGAAGAGGCCCCAAAAGTCCAGGCAACCTGAAAATAAAAAATTACATTAAATATATATATTTTATATATATATGTAAAATATATACATATACTTTAATTACACAGATTATTTTCTGGGGGAGAGGGTCTTGCCTAAGACTGCATTTTCCAAAGGTAATAATGGCACTTCGGTGGAGGCAGTAAAGCGAGGTTATGACCAGTGAGAAGACAGGGGAACAGTTCGCAATAACCCCACGCTCCACTTTGTAGTCTCTGCTACAGTGTGAGGCACTGAAATTTAAAAATATGATTTTGGTTGCTATCTATATTGTCTGTAGTTTTCTTACATCTTTACTTTCAAATATTAGACCAAATAGAAAGCATGTAAGGCCAGAAGATGGACTCCAAATAAATGGTCAAATGGGAGTGTAGGGTATTTCTCATGATTACATCCATATAGTGGGAGTAAAAATAGGTGCATTTCCAGAGAGCAAGTTGACAACATACAGTAACATTTTAAATGTGCATATGCTTTGACCCATGAGCTCTTAAAAAAAAAAAAACTATCCTAAGAAGTCATCTTATAAATATTAAAAAGATGCTTGTTGCACAAATATTTTTAGTACTGAAAAAAACTGAAACAAGTACTCATCAATATGTGACTGGTCAAATAAATTATGATACCCACGTAATGGAACATAATAAAACCTTTAAAATAATAATGTGAATCTATTTTTTAACATGGAAAGATAGTCATGGTAAATGTTAAGTGAAAAATGCACAGAGTATTGTCCTATTTTTATAAAAACATAAATATTATACAATGCTATTGTAAATAATACATAGTATATGTCAAATATTTCATTTCTTCCAGGTTTATACTATAACAGAACCAAAAGAAATGAATACACATATATTCACATAAATCACATGTATGTCAAGTATAAAACCAAAATATTTTTTAAAAATATATTTTACTATGCCATTACAGTTGTTCTATTTCCCCCCTTCATTCCCCTCCACCCTGCACACCCCCTCCCCCAACATTCCCCCCCTTTAGTTTATGACCATGTGTCTCAAATTCTTTAAATTCTGTATTTCTCATACTGCTCTTGTCCCCCCTATTTTCTACCTACTGTCCATGCTTATTTTCTGTACCTTCTCCCCCCTTCTCCTCCTCCCACTCCCCTGTTGCTAACCCTCCATGTGATCTCCATTTCTGTGGTTCTGCCCCTGATCTAGCTGCCCTCTAGCTGTCCTTTTGTTTTAGGTGTGGTTGTTAATAACTGTGAGTTTGCTGTCCTTTCACTGTTCATCTTTTTTATCTTCTTTTTCTTAAGTAAGTCCCTTTAACATTTCATATAATAAGGGCTTGGTGATGATGAACTCCTTGAATTTGATCTTATCTGAGAAGCACTTTGTCTGCCCTTCCATTCTAAATGAAAGCTTTGCTGGATAGATTAATCTTGGTTGTAGGTCTTTGGATTTCATGACTTGGAATACCTCTTTCCAGACCTTTCTTGCCTGTAAGTTGTCTTTTGAGAAATCAGATGACAGTCTGATGGGAACTCCTTTGTAGGTGACTGTCCCCTTATCTCTTGCTGCTTCTAGGATTCTCTCCTTCATTTTAATCTTGGCTAATGTAATGATGATGTGCTTTGGTGTGTTCCTCCTTAGGTTCAACTTCTTTGGGACTCTCTGAGATTCCTGGATTTCCCGGAAGTCTATTTCCTTTGCCAGATTGGGGAAGTTCTCCTTTATTATTTGTTCAAATAAGTTTTCCACTCGTGGCTGTTCCTCTTCCCCTTCTGGTACCCCTATAATTCATATGTTGGAACGTTTAAAGATGTCCTGAAGGTTCCTAAGCCTCTCCTCATTTTTTTGAATCCTTGTTTCTTCATCCTTTTCTGTTTGGTCATTTTTTTCCTCTTTCTGGTCCACTCCTTTGATTTGAGTCCCAGTTTCCTTTCCATTACTATTGGTTTCCTGTGTATTTCCCTTCATTTCAATTAGTTTAGCTTCCATATGTTCCTCTAATTTGTGAGTAAGCTCAACCAGTTCTGTGAGTATCCTGATCACCAGTGTTTTGAACTGTGGATCTGAAAGTTTGGCTATTTCTTCATCACTTAGATTTATCGGCTCTGGGGCTCTGAGTTGTTCTTGAGCCATGTTTTGATCTGTTTGTGCCTGTTACATATGAGGAGCGGAGCCTTAGTTGTTCACCAGGGTGGGGCCACCCAGGTGGCTGTGTTGTGATGCTGTACGTGGGGGCAGGGTCAGAGAGGGACAATGGCAGTCCCCTCTGCCGCTGGGGCCTGCGCAGTCCATCTCACTGCTAGCTCCTTCACTGGTTTATCTGTGTGCTAATGTGTGATTGCGATCAGCCCTCAGTGAGTCTGCCTGCTTCTCCACACCTGGGATCCGCCCACGGCTGCTGGCGCACCTGGGTAGGGGGCCTGGGTCAGTCTGGTGGATCTTTCCTGCCTGACCCCACTCTGCTGCTGGCTGTGCCCCTTACCGGTTTGGGTGAAGGGTTCGTTGTTGTCAGACTTCCGTGTAGTTCAATTTTCTGTGGTTTGGCTGCGTTTTTGTTGCTAAAACTTTGTTGTGCTAGAAGGCGCAGTGCTTCCACCTACGCCTCCATCTTGGCGGAAGTCCCCCAAAATATTAACTGTGGTTATTGTTGAGTTGTGGGATAACATGCGATTGTAAGTTCCTTCTTTATTATCATTTTGAAATGCTTTAAATCTTCTGCAATAAGTATGTATTGCTTTTCTTTTTAAAACTTATTATGAAAGTTTTAAACATGTTCCAAAATAGAGAATAGCAATAATAACTCCATATATCTGTTCTCAGATTCAACTTCCCAGTATTTTGTTACATACACTTCATTTTGTCTTCCTTGTTTTAACTGTAATATTTTAAAGTGAATCCCTGATCTCATGTCACTAGACCCCTAAGTATTTCCTCAGGTATCTCTCAATACAGAGGCATTTTCTTATACAACCACAATAAAACTGCCATCGTAATTAATAATAATTCATTATTCCAAATTAATAATTCCTTGATATCATCTAATATCTAGTACCTATTTCATTTTCTTTGATTATCAAAAAAAAAATGCCTTTTTGCCCTGGCTGGTGTAGCTCAGTGGACTGAGTGAGGGCCTGCAAACCAAAGGGTTGCCGGTTCAATTCCCAGTCAGGGCACATGCCTAGGTTGCAGGCCTGGTCCCCAGTTGGGGGCATGTGAGAGGCAACCACACATTGATGTTTCTCTACCTCTCTTTCTGCTTCCCTTCCTCTCTCTCTAAAAATAAATAAATAAATAAAATCTTCATTTGAAAAAATGAAGTCAAATTTAAAAATGCCCTTTTGCCACTGTGTTCCAATCAGAAACCAAAAAAGTCTTCATTTTATGAGAAAAACTCAACTGCTTTTATAACCAACCAACCAACCAACCAAAAAACCCCCTATGTCACCATAATCACTTTGCTTTCAGTATTCTTTGTGCTTTTAAGTCATCCCCCAACTTCTCAAACTCAGTTCTTGTGTTAATATCAATGACTTGGTCTTCTAGCAGGGTCCCTTTTGACATCTTCTGTTGTAGCTGAAATCCAGAATGAACAAAACTCCTTCAATAACATGTCTGTGTGGTCTTAAATTTAAATTTGGGTACTTCCATTAGCTAAAAATTCTAGAAAAAAAAACTATTTTCAGATAAATCTCTATCTAGTCATTATATACCAGTATAGATCATCCATCCCAACTTTCAAAAACGATGTAACTAAAGTCAAGTCTTCTTCTAGGAATCAGAGAGATGACGACTTAAACTGTTTTCTAACCTAATATTTAACAGAAAAAATGTATAAATATTAGGAATACATAAAAGGAAAAATAACAGATTTATCATGTATGAAGAACCTAACATATAAAAAACACTCAATAAGTATTTCTTTAAATATTTATTTAAACTGTAAATCTTAAGAGGAGTAAGCTGCTCAAAATATTATGACTTCCAAAAACTGAGTTTTTTTTTTTAAAGGTTTTATTTATTTATCTTTAGAGGAGAAGGGGGGAAGGAGAGAGGGAGAGAAACATCAATGTGTGGTTGCCTTTCTCGCGTCCCCTGCTGGGAACTGGCCTGCAACCTAGGCATGTGCCCTGACTGGGAATCGAACCTCGATTGTCTGGTTCGCAGGCCCGCGCTCAATCCACTGAGCTACACAAGCCAGGGCTTTTTTTTTTTTTTTAAAGATGAGTTTTTGTTATTTTTGAACAACTACAAAATTAAGACTTCTCCACATGCACAATGCCTTAAGTGATGGCTGGAAGAAAATGAAGTTTGAAAAGTTCAAAACAGCTCTCACACCTCTGGAAAAACAATTTTTAAGCTTCTTTTAAAAGAGAAACCAAGACTGTAATTTTTAAATGTCATTTATAACTGGGTTAATTACAAGAACAGTAATTTCCACCACGGGAAGCTTAAAACTAAAGTGCAAAGTTGAGTTGAACAAAAACTCAAGTTGCTGAGTGTGAAATTATTTTATGAATGTGTATGCAGAGTGAGTTAATAGACCGTTAAAACTTTTATGTCTTATTCGCATGTGAAACTGAGGTGACACATTTACCACAAATCAGTATTTAAATGGGTCTGGCTTTGATATTTTTTCCCCTGACTTCACTGGATAATCAAATTGAAGTGAGGCTGTCTGGTTTTCCACTCCCATAATCTCAAACTTCCTCTTTACTATGTGCCTCCTGTACACAACACTTAAAGTCAGTATTTCCTTGCCGGGACATCTTAAAAATCTAAATTCCCCAGGGGAAGAAATCCACATAAACTTCTCGCATTATACTTCACTGTTCAAAATTCAATGACAACAGCTATAAATTATAAGCCCACAATAACAACGTTAATTTAAAAACACTGTAAGAGTAGAATGGCAATTACATACTTACGCTTTTCTCAATTTTTCAAGTACGATGCGTCTTCTAATCTGGTTCTGAGAACTCGAATCTATCAGTGGAAAGGTGGGATCATGCTGAATCACATTTTTAAATAAAAACAAAAAACAAAAACAAAAATCATGAATTTACATTCTTTATCTGATGAGAACAATTAACATTTAAAGACAGAAGTTAACACTTGTGGTATGGTGAAATAAAAACTTGAAAATTATAAGATTTAAATTTAAGTATCAGTTCACTCATTAGGTTGATGTGAACTTGCTTGAGTCATTTGCCCTCCTTTAAGACTGTTTTCACATCTGTATAAAAGGAACACTAAGTGTATACAAAAAGGCTTTGTAAACTGCTAAATGCTACATAAATGTAGGAAAATAAAAGACTGAAATTAGCAAATGCTATAAATATATTGTGGGGAATTCCACTTCTAGAAATGGCAGACAAGATAATTCAAACCACCCCTCCTGCTGAGAAATGAAAAAGCTGGGAAAAAAAAAACACCCCACATTTGTTTGAAAGAATCAGATTGCTAACGAGGCAGTAAAGAATTATGGCCTGAGATTCAGGAGAAGGTAATTCCAGAGAGGCTACTGACTAATTTCAGAAGAGGCAATGTAGATACTGAGAACCCAAGCGCTGCTCTGTTAATAAATACCAGAGTCTGCGGCATGCCAAGAAGGAAGAGGCGACAGCAACCCTCCCCACGTTTGAGACCAGAACTTAGAAGGATCACACTCTAGGAGTAAGAATGGATAGGGAACAGACTGGATCTTATACAGACTGAAGCCCAGCTTCAAACCATCTTAATTCCTGACTGGATTAAGGTGATTTGGGAGTGCCAGGAATTATGTGCCAGAGGAAACATAAATCCATCCTACAGAATGACAATATCAGCCTGAGTCTCAAGTCATCTCAGTAACGTTTAATAGACACTGTTTGCCACATAATAAAAAAAATAAGACAACATAATAAAAATCTGAAACATTAGCCCATAGAAATCAACCCTCAGGAAATCCAGATAATGAAGTTATCAGCTTCTTTAAAATAACTGCGTTAAATATATTTTTAAAAAATGACAATAAAATTTCAGCAGAGAATTCAAAACTATGTAAGAGAATCAATGAAAATCCTAAAATGGAAAAATATAGTATTTAAAAGAACTCAATGGACAGATTTAACTGAAGAGAGGATGCTGAGTTGGAAAATATCCAGAATGCAGCCCAGTCACCCCCATCACCCCCTCCCCCTCCACATAAAGCAAAGCACAGAAAATACGAGACAAAGAAGATGCCAGTGAAAAGGTCTGACATATCTCTAACTGCAGTGCCTGATAATGTCTGAGACTATTCCATTAAGTCACAGATTCAAGTACTACTACAGCCGAAAAAATATAATCACTATGCAAAGCATTTTAAAACTGAGGGGAACTAAAGAAAAAAAAGTCTTTGAAGTAGTTAAAGAAAGAAAACACAGTATTTGTTTTTAAAAAAAGCAGCAATAAGAATAATAAACAGAAGCTAAAGACGAGGAAATATTTTCAGTGGGCTGTAAGAAAATAACTGCTCATCTAGAATTCAATTTCCAGGAAAATATCTTTAAAAAGTAAAAGTAAAATAAAAAGTTTTGCTACAGATAAAAACTGAGCCCTGGCTGATGTGGGTCAGTGGATTGAATGCCAGCCTGCGAACCAAGGGGTCACCAGTTCGTTTCCTGGTCAGGGCACATGCCTGAATTTCGGGCCAGGGCCCCGGCTGGGGACAAGCCAGAGGCAACCGTACACTGATGTTTCTCTCCCTCCCTTTTTCCCCTCTTTCCTCTCTCTCTCTAAAAATAAATAAATAAAATCTTAAGGAAAAAAAAAGGCTAAGAAAATTTATCACTAGTGACTGGCATTAACAGAAACAAAGGATACTCTTTTTTTCTCTCTTTTTTATTGTTGTTCAAGTACAGTTGTCTCCATTGTCCCCCAACCCCAGCCATCTTCACCTCCCACACTCAACCCCATCCCCCTTTGGCTTTGTCCACGTGTCCAGAGACAAAGGCTACTCTTTAGGCCCAAGGTAAATGATCCCACATGGAAGAATGGAAATGCAGTAAGAAATGAAAAACAATGAAAGAGTAATTAACTAGACAAATCCAATTAAATATTGACTATAAATAATCTTGTAGAATTTAAAATGTAGAGAGAAAAAAAGCACACACAAGAGCACAGAAGTAAAGAGAGGGTAAATAAAGGTAAAGTTCTAAAGTTCTAATTATCCAGGAAGCAATAAAACTGTTAAGTTACATTAAACATTAATAAGACAAAGATTCATGTTTTAATCTTTAGGGTAACCACTAGACAATTAGCAAAAAAATGTGTAAGAAGCTAATAGAGGGTAAAAAAATGGAATAATTGTATTAACACAAAGAAAGCAAAAAAGGAAAGGGGAACACAGAACAGGTGGAATTCAGAAAGCAACAACCAATGAACGAGACAGTAAATTTAAATCCAGTTATATCAATTACAACAATAAATGTAAATGGACTAAATCCTCCACATAAAGGATAAAGATTATCAGCTTGGATTTTAAAAAAAGACAGTCCTTGAAAATACTAATAAAGAATGGTAGTGTCAGTGAGGTAGACTCTTAAGAGAGAAAAATCAATGTAGAGAAAGGTTACTCCATAATGCTAAAGATTCAATTTTGAATTCTAGATTTGTATAATCTTAGATTTGTACCCAATAACATGGTCTCAAAATATTAAAAGTAAAATTCATAAAACTAAAAGGAGAAATAACAAATCCATAATTATGGTAAGAGACTCTGACCTGCCTCTTTCACCTCTGATGGAGTGAGCGAACAAAGAAAAATCAATAATGCTTCTCAAACTCTGATGTGTATCCATTTCCCAAAAGGAAAACAATGAAATCTGACCTATACTCCCACAGTAAACAAAAATCAATCACAATTGAATTGCAGGTCTCAATGTGAAAGAAAAACAACAAAGCTTCTAGAAAATGAAATAACCTGGGCTAAGCAAATATTCTTCAAGTCACTGAAGACCCAGTAATGACTGTGAAAGGGCAAGTCTCAAAGTGAAAGATGGTATTCACAATACACATAACTAAAAATGAGCTTGAATCCTAAATAGATAAAAAGTTCCTACAGATCAGTAAGAAAAAAAATACCTAGATATATTCAACAGGTAAATGGAAAGAAGATTCAGGCACTTCACAAAAGAGACTATCCAAATGGTCAATAAGCAAAAGAAACAGTGCTCAACTCATTAATCATCAGAGAAATGTAACCAAAAAGCATTACCACCAGAATGTTAAAAACCAACACTACCAAGTATCGTAAGAACGTGGAGTACTGGGAATTCTCAGACTGTGGTAGTAGAATATAAATTGCCACAACCATTTCAGAAAACCATTTGTCATTATGTATTATAGGTGCATATACCCACACATTATGACCCAGAAATTCCACTCCTAGGTACATACCCCACAGAAATGCATGCACATTAGGAAAATACAGGGTCTGGCACGAATAATGCCCCTATTTTATTACAAAATCATGAGCATTTAATTCTGTAACATAACAAAATCACACTCAAGCACACCAAGTGACAATTTAGGTGAAATGTTCAAATTAAGACTATAAATTATTACACCCACATTATTACTCTACCAACCACACTCATGCAGGCATTACTTCCTCCAGACCCTGTATATAAGCAAGTTCTTAAAAGCAGTTCATAATAGCCCCAAACCGAAACAGCCTAAATGCTCATTAATATACATAAATTGTGGTACATTTTTATAATGGAATACTATGCAGCAATGAAAGAATAAAACTAGAGTTACAGGCAACAACAGAAATGGTTCATGATCATAATGCTGCATGAATTAAATTGGACACCAAAGAATCTATTTACATATAGTTCAAAATTGGCAAAACTTATCTGTGCTGTTATAACAGTCCTTCATTTTAGAAAGCAGTAATGACTAGTTGGAGACATAATGGGGCTCTGGTTCGCTCAAACTTCTCAGTCTGAATAGTATTCATTTGTGATAATTCAGTGAGTTGTACACTTATTATCTGCACTATACTTCCATGAAAAAGCTACATAACGTTGTGCTGCCTTGCCTGGTGTGGCTCAGTGGATTGAATGCAGGACTATGAACTAAAGGTTCACTGGTTCGATTCCCAGTCAGAACACCTGCCTGGGTTGTGGGCCGGGTCCCTTGTGAAAGGCACACAAGAGGCAACTACACACTGATGTTTCTCTCCCTCCCTTCTCCTCTCTAAAAATAAAATCTTAAAAAACAAAAACAAAAACAAAGGAAGAGGTATCATTTTTTTTAAAGTTATATAATGTTGTACAACAGAGGAGCAGTCAAATTTCAGGGGTTAATTTTTCCTTCTTAAGGCTTATAAGCATAAAAATGATAAAACGGCCCTGGCTGGTATAGCTCAGTGGACTGAGCACAGCCTGGAAACCAAACAACCGCGGTTCAATTCCCAGTCAGGGCACATGCCTGGGTTCCAGGCCAGTTCCCAGGAGGGGACATACGAGAGGCAACCATACATTGATATTTCTCTCCCTCTCTCCTTCCCTTCCCTTCTAAGGATAAATAAATAAAATATTTATTAAAAAAAAGATAAAACGATTTATGTACTACGGTAGGCTTATGCAGCTGACAGAAATCAATGTTTCTCCAAGCTCAATATAAAAGTTATGGACGCTGTCTAATAATACAATTGAAGTGATTTCAAATACAGTACTGATTTTGGCAATGTACTGTAGAAAATAAGAAATTCCTAAATTTTTACTATTTCCACTTTTACTTTGTAAATCTCCAAATGTGTTATTAAATTTAGAGCCACATTTACTTAGAAATCTTTAGTAACAAAGTTTTGTGGTAAAAACCAGGATACTGCCTACTTCTCTTCATGTCAAATGACTTAATTTCCCAAACTATTATACATCAACCAAAACTGGGTATTGGAAATATTGAAAAATCTCCCTAAATCTCAGTGGCATAAACTCAGTCTCTACATATAACTACTATTTACTGAGCACCAATTATATGTAAAGCACTGCAATAAATTATTTATATATATTATCTCTAAAACTCATAACAATTGAGCAAGAAAAGCTACTTATAGTCCCATTTATGGATATGTACTCAAAAGCAAGAAACTATCTTTTCATAGAACTAGTAAATGACAGCAAATATTCAAATCTAGGTCTTACCTGAATATGCTCTTTCCATTTCTTCTCTATTATTTCCTGACAGTCTCCTCTATTATTTTCTTTTATAATATTTTAAGTATATTTTTAATATACTTAAAATATATTTACTTTTATATTTAAAATATATTTTATTATATTGCCCATCCTGTGGGCATGTTTGTCAAATATTATATGAGTATCTCAACATTCAACTAGCAAATCTACTCCACTGTATACAGTTTCACTGGGAATAAAACACAAAGATACATACCCCATAAAGGAATCTGAAAGAATACCTACTAATGAAGAAAATACAAGCCTTTTCAGAGGTTCTACTTATTATGTAAAGAGCTAGGTTTAAAGAAAACTCTGTCCCACAATTCTAGGCTATTGCTACATTAGCGAAAAATGTTCCACATGGATGAAAATTTTCAGGGGCAAACTTCAACTTATTTGTAAAATAGTGGTGCCTATACTGGAGATGGCATTTTAAACCAAGACTGACCAACTAAAGAAGCCTTCTGAAAATTTAACAATTATTTCTACAAGAAGAAAAATCTTCCTGCTCCAATATTTCCTTATATTATTAGCAACATGGAAAACTCATTCTCATTAAGACATACCTCTTCTGAGTCTTGTGATTTGGTGGTTTCTTCATTTAAAATGTATCGCCCTCTATAAAACTCTCTGATCCTTAGGTTTAATGTTTCAGTTTCTTTTTTCAAGCTCTCATAACTTGGCAGTGGTTTAATGGCTGCATCTGAGGCCCTAAAAGGCAAAGACTCATCCAAGCGGTCCTGAGATTCCTGGAAGGCAGGAGAATGACTCTCTGGGTCAGAGTTTATGTCATCTTCATCAAGTTCTTCTTTAACCAGAGGGGCAAAAGCACAATTGTGGCCATTCAAAAACCTCAAAGTTCCTTCAGTCCTCCACTCAATCAAAGTCTCCTTCAGAACTCTAAGTAAGTTTGCCTTTGCAACTTCAGGACACACCTGCACTGAACTAGAAGCTGACCTCGAAACTTGGTTTGATTTGGCAAATTTCCGCTTAAAATGCTCAGCACTTTTCTTACTTATGCCCACTAGAGTTATTTCTGAACTACTGTATTTATTTTCAGAAATTTCTGAAGCTTCTAATTTTTGTTGCAAAGGACTATTTGAAGAAATCTGACTATTTACTTTCTGTAAAGGAAGTTCGCAAGCAGCAACTTTTTCTTGATTATCTAATCTGCAATTGCCTAACTGCTCAGCAACATCTATTACTGTTTGTTCTCTGTGTTCTTGCTTGAAGTTAGCTTTTTGACCAGCTTTCTTTTTCATGATGCTTTTTTTCTGTAGCTGTGGCCTTATACCCTTTGCATTTGGTCTGTTTTCTGGTAGAATGGAGGAAACAAAGTCTTGTTCATTATCACTGCTACTATCACTGTGAGTGCTAGAAGAACTCGGTTCATATTGCTTCTCAAAATGGCTGGGGTTGTCAATATCTGATGTTTTAATGGCCTTACTGCATAACTGTACTTCTTCTCCAGAATGGCCACTGTAGAAGAAAAGAAACAAAATAACTGTAACAGAAAAACAGAATGTCCCACAATACTCGTACTTTCTACCATTCAAGGCAGAAATCTGTATTCCCCATTCAAAGCCTTATTCATAGGTTTAGAGTTAGTTATACAAGCCTGTACACATATACACACTTCAGAAGAAAGCTCTAATTCTGTAATTTCTGTACATCTTATTTATTTGATGTAATTCTCTTCTTACCTTGTCCTTTGCCCCCAATCACTATAATTTTTTTATCCTCACCCAAGGACATATTTCCATTGCTTTTTTTAGAAAGAGAGGTAGGGACTAGGAGGGGAGGGGGGGAGAGAGAGGGACAGAGAGGGAGAGAGAGAGAAACATCGATAACAAAGAGAAACATCCACTGGTTGCCTCTCATAGATTCCCTGACTGGGGATCAAACCCACAACCTAGGGATGTGCCCTGAAATTGAACTCTCAACCTTGCAGTACACGGGACAATGCTCCAACCAACAGAGACACACTAGCTGGGCCTCCCAATTTACTTTAAAAGTGTTAAAACAGAACAAGAAAGAGAAAAAAATAAACATTTGATAATGTCAACCTACTGACTTATTTTTGATATTGGCCTGCTCCACTGCTGTGACTGTTTCATATACCCCTTTTTAAAGAAAAGTTTTTTTTCCTTTTGAAAACTTCACTTATGGTTTCTCAAATATACATGTATGTATACATACATGCACACATATTATAGAAACTATGTTTAGGCTTTGAAAGATAAAAAGAGATGTTTAAACATTTACCAATTCTGGTTGATAGTTAGACTGAAAATTCCAAAGAATGTAAAATATAAGAAAATCAGGATACTGGACTTCCGCCAAGATGGAGGCATAGGTGGACGTGCCGTGCCTTCTCACACAACCAAGTTTAGAGACAACTGAATATTAGCAACAGAAAACACAGCCAGAACACGGAAAATTGAACTTTTCGGAAGTCCGTTAACAACAAATTCTTCAGCCTGACCGGTAAGGGGTGAAACCAGTGGCTGGTGAAGCGGGGTTGCACAGGAAATCTCGGTCAGACGGACTCAGGCGCGGAATCCAGACGCGCGGAATCCAGGCGCAGGCTTGGAACTAGTGAGCGACCGAGCGAGCGACCGCGGGGGAGACAGCGGGGGAGCGGTGCTGCGTGTTGACTGTGGTCGCGCATTTGTGCACGGGTGGACAGGCGAGGGAGTGGGTGGTTGGACCAGGGCCCAGCGGGTCCCCGCAGCAAGCGGCAGTGAAGGGCACCGCCATTTCCCCGCTCTGACCCCACCTCCACATACAGCGTCATAACCCAGCGACTCAGAGTGGCCCGGCCCAGGTGAACCACCTAAGGCGCTGCTCCTCACCCAGCTGTCAGAAACAGCAGAGGGGGTCGCCATTTCCCCGCTCTGACCACGCCCCCACATACAGCGTCACAACCCAGCGACCTGGGAGTCCAAGGCACCGCTTCTCACACTTAAAGGGCCAGAACAGACCAAAAATGGCTCAAGAAGATCTCAAAGCCCCAGAGCCCATAGATCTAAGCAATGAAGAAATAGCAAAACTCTCAGACGCACAGTTTAAAACACTGGTCATCAGGATCCTCACAGAACTGGTTGATTATAGCCACAAATTAGACAAATATATGAAGGCGAAACTAATTGAAATGAATGGAATTGCACAGGACACCAATAGCAATAAAAAGGAAACTGGGACTCAAATCAATGGAGTGGACCAGAAGAAAGCAAATAATGGCCAAACAGAAAAGAGTCAAGGAGCAAGAATTCAAAGAAATGAGAGTCTTAGGAACCTCCAGGACATCTTTAAACGCTCCAACATCTGAATTATAGGGGTACCAGAAGGGGGAAAGGCACAGCCACCAGTGGAAAACTTATTTGAACAAATAATAAAGGAGAACTTCCCCTATCTGGCAAAGGAAATAGACTTCCAGGAAATCCAGGAAGCTCAGAGAGTCCCAAAGAAGTTGGACCCAAGAAGGAATACACCAAGGCACATCATCATTACATTAGCCAAAATTAAAATGAAGGAGAGAATCCTAGAAGCAGCAAGAGCTAAGGGGACAGTCACCTACAAAGAAGTCCCCATCAGACCGTCAGCTGATTTCTCAAAAGAGACCTTACAGGCAAGAAGGGGCTGGAAAGAGGTATTCCAAGTCATGAAAACCAAAGACCTACAACCAAGATTGCTCTATCCAGCAAAACTTTCATTTAGAATGGAAGGACAGATAAGGTGCTTCTCAGATAAGATCAAATTCAAGGAGTTCATCACCACCACGCCCTTATTATATGAAATGTTAAAGGGACTTATCTAAGAAAAAGAAGTTAAAGAAACATGAACAGTGAAAGGACAACAGACTCACAGTTATTAACAACCACACCTAAAACGAAAGCAAACTAAAAGGACAGCTAGATCAGGAGTGGAAACATAGAAATGAAGATCTCAAGGAGGGTTAGCAACAGGGGAGGGGGAGGAGGAGAAGGAGAAGGCGGGAGAAGGTACAGAAAATAAGTAGCATAGACAGTAGACAGAAAATAGAAGGGGGGGCAAGAATAGCATGGTAAATATAGAATCTAAAGGACTTGAGACACATGGTCATAAACTAAAGGGGGGTAATGGTGGGGATGGGGGGTAGGGTGGAGGGGAATGAAAGGGGGAATAGAACAACTGTAACAGCATAATCAATTAAAAAATTTAAAAAAAAAGAAAAATATAAGAAAATCAGTCACAGCAGAAAATAAAGTTACCAAATCAACATTTATCAATGAAAGATATTTATATTTGAAACTCCAGAATTACAATATAATGCTAAAATAAAAGACAACAGTTTTCTTTGACTATATTTCTTCAATTTTCAGGTTTGAAAAGATTAAGAATTCTGAAAGAGTGAAGGCAAAGAGCAATTCTGTCTATACAAACTTGAGGTAAAGAAGGATGGGTGAGCAGTTACTCTTAAGCAAATACATGTGTCAGAACTATGAAGGATCCAGATGAAGAGGATTCTGGGTCAAGAAGTACATAGTGGGTAGTAGTTAGAGAGTATGGGAACTCTCTACTTTTCATGCAGTTTTTCTGTAAAATTGCTCCCCCTAAAAAGGCTATTACATTTTTAGAAATGATCTTTAAAAATAAAATGAAATAACTGAGCAATTTAAAAAATGCTGGATGGGGAGGTTGGGAGGGTATGTAAAAGAAAAAAACTGTAAGAGTTGAGAGTAAAATTGTGGCTGGGAATGGAGAAAGTTTATTTAGTATCCGATACCATTTTTAGTTAGAATCTAGCCTATATTGTCATGGGACTTGCCTCTTGTTAAATATAATTTCAAAAAAAGAGAAAAGAACAATTAAACCTTCATGTATTTCATACTTTCTCTTGAAATTTTATGGAATTGTATTTTTCTAAATTAAAAAAAATCCTCACCTGAGGATATGTTCATTGATTTTTAGAAAGAGAAGAGGGGTGGGGAAGAGAGCGGGGGAGGGAGGGAGGGAAGGAGGAAGGGAGAGGGAGAGAAAGAGAAAGAGACATTAGTGTTTGATCAGTTGCCTCCAATAAGCACCCCGACTGGAGACTGAACCCGTAACCTAGGTATATACCCTGACTGGGAATTGAACCCACAACCTTTTGATGTATGAGATGATGCTCTGACCAACTAAGCCACCTAGCCGAGGCTAAAGGTATTATATTTTTCTATACTACTTTGAACTATAAATTAGACATACATGAACAAATAAATATCTCTCACTTGTGCTCAAGTCCATGTAACTAAGGTAATGACTGATAACCACAACAATTTATTCTGGGAGATAAAAGGACATGTTCTGAAAGATGATTATGGTTAGGCAAGCAACACCATGAGGGGAATTTAGAAAAAAAATCACAACTTAGAATTTTTATTAATGCTTTAGACACTCTTTCAAATAATTAACTGATACATTAACATTTTGAAATCCTATAAAAATACAACTATAAAAACTTTTCAACAAGTGTAACTGGCACAATGTAGTTGACAAAGCAGCACAGTATCTCAGATGGAAGCTGTGTTTGTGTCATATTTCAACAGGTTCAATTAGACTTTCTTGGTAGAAACAGCTGCATGATAAATCATATAGCGCAAACACATCATCTTACAAAGGAAAAAGCTGTACAAGGCAAATATTTCTTTGTGTGGGCTAGAATAGGCACTTACATACTGCATCAGCACAGGAAGTCCAAGAGCTCATACCACCTGGTTTACTCTTAATGTTTCTATTAACATAAATATAAAGAAGGTAAGTGACGCTGATTCAACCATACCTCTGTCCTTCCTGTAGCAGCTGAAAATCAGGATGCCTGTGACAAAAACACAAAATTAAAAACTGAAGGTAACTGATATGTCAAATACTTTGAAGTGTTTACAGATCAAGTAGATAGAAAATATAATTTAAAAACCAATGGTATATTCACTAATCTAGAACAAATACTCCAAAAATTTAAGTGGAACCAAAAAAGACCCCAAATAGTCTCAGCAATCTTGAGAAAGAAGAACAAAGTTGGAGTGATCACAATACCTGATATAAAACTAAACTATAAGGCCACCATAATCAAAACAGCCTGGTACTGGCATAAGAACAGACATATAGATCAATGGAACAAAATAGAGAGCCCAGAAATAAACTCATGTCTCTATGGTCAATTAATATTTGACAAAGGGAGCATGAGCATACAATAGAGTAAAAATAGCATCTTCAATAAATGGTGTTGGGAGAAGTGGACTGGTACATCCAAAAATAAAAGAAAGAAAGAAACTAGATTACCACCTTATATCATACACCAAAATAAACTCAAAATGGATAAAAAACTTAATTAAGTCATGATACCATAAAAGTCCTAGCTGAAAACACAGGCAGTAAAATTTCAGATATCCCACATAGCAATATTTTTGCGCATATATATATATATATATACACACACACACACACATACATATATCTTCTAGGGCAAGGGACATAAAGAAAAAAATAAATGGGACTATATCAAATTAAAAAGCTTCCACACAGTTAAAGAAACCAACATCAAAATGAAAAAGGAGCCAACCCTCTGGGAAAACATATTTGCCAAACTCTTGGACAAGAGTTTAATCTCCAAAATATATAAAGAACTCATATGGTTCAACACCAGGAAAACATATAATCCAATTAAAAAATGGGCAAAGGACCTGAATCAATACTTCTCCAAGGAGGACACACAGAGGGCCCAAAGACATATGAAAAGTTGCTCAACATCACTAGTCATCAGAGAGATGCAAATTAAAAGCACAATGAGATATCACTTCAAACCTGTCAAAGTCATTATCATTAACAAATCAACAAACAACAAGTGCTGACGAGGATGTAGAGAAAAGGGAACACTAGCACACTGTTGATGGGAATGAGGACTGGTGCAGCCAGTGTGGAAAACAGCATGGAATTTCCTTAGAAAATTGAAAATGGAACTGCCTTTTGACTCAGCAATTCCACTGCTGGGATACCATAAAAATCTCAAAACACCAATTCAGAAGTACTAATGCACCCCTATGTTCACAGCAGCACTATTTATAATAATCAAGTGCTGCCAACAGCCTAAGTACCAATCAGTAAATGAGTGGGTCAAAAAACTGTGGTCCATTTACACAATGGAATACTACAGAGCAAAAAGAAAGAAGGAGCTCCTACACTTCAAGGCAGCATGGATGGAACTGGAGAATATTATGCTAAGTGAAATAACCTGACAGTTGGTGACAGACAAATATATCTTGTGATGTCACTTATACCAGGAATCTAATGAACAAAATAAACAAATAAGCAAAATAGAACCAGAGACATGCTAACATGGAAGAGACTGACAGCAGCCAGAGGGAAGGGGGGAGGGGGTTAAGGGTGGAAAGACGGGGAAGGGACTAGTTAAAGAGCATGTATGAATGACCCATGAACATGGACAATAGTGTGGGGATGGACTATGGGAGCGGAGGTGGGTTAGGTGGAGGGCAAAAGGGAAATAAATGGGACAACTGTAATAGAGTAACAATAAAAAAAAAGGTATAATTAAAGGAATACAGTTCATATAAAGATTTTTAAAGAAAATTATGGAACAGCCCTGGCTGGTGTAGCTCAGTGGATTGAGCACGGGCCTGTGAACCAAACAACCGCAGTTCGATTCCCAGTCAGGGCACATGCCTGGGTTGCAGGCCAGTTCCTAGCAGGGGATGCATGAGAGGCAACCATACATTGATATTTCGCTCCCTCTCTTCTTCCCTTCCCCACTAAAGATAAATAAGTAAAATCTTAAGGAAAAAAGAGAAAATTATGGGACAAAATATCACAAAACTCATCTCTAAGAAATCAGGATTAATATTTCTATGCAAAATTTACTCATATTTCAGAACTAAGTTCATATCCCATGAGGCAAATAAAGTTTTCCCTGGTAACTAACCTGTTAATGTAAATCACTCTCTTCTCTAAATTCCAAAGTATGTACAATTAGTATATATTAATCATGTACTCTATGTAATTTATTATTAGGTAATAAATTCAGATAATACTAAGTTATCTAAATGTCTTCCTTTTCATGTTTAATTCTGATTTCTTAAATAGAACACAAACACTCTGAGAACACAGATTACACAAACTTTTGTATTTCCTTTATATGGTTAGTAAGGCTTTTTGCTCTAATTTCTGAGAAAGAAGTTGTACTGTAGTATGGAAGTGAACTATGTAGACAGGTGGTTTAATTTAATTCTAGGGATAATTCTGCTATGCAATACCAGAAATCACATTTAGCTGGGTATTATATTAAAAAGGGGGTAGGAAAAGCTCTTAGATAGATATAAAAAGGAGAAAATATAATAGCAAATGAATCTACAAGGACAAGAAAACTGTAAAATACTTCTGAAGTGACTCAGAAAAAATGTCTTTTAGAGGCTATAAAACGGATTAAATGAAATTGACAATGTTGTCTTATTGATGAACTAGAATATAACTCCATTTAGTTTTCTGTATACTTAATCTGTTTATAGATTTAGGTTCAGTTGTTGATAGTTGTGAGTTTGTTGTCATTTTACTCTTCGTGTTTTTTTTAAAAAGATTTCATTTATTTATCTTTAGAGGGGAAGGAGAGAGGGAGAGAAACATCAATGTATGGTTGACTCTAGTGCATCCCCTGCTGGGAACTGGCTTGCAACCCAGGCATGTGCCCTGACTGGGAATCAAACCTCGATCCTCTGGTTCACAGGCCTGCGCTCAATCCACTGAGCTACACCAGCCAAGGCTTACTCTTCATATTTTTGATCATCTTCTTTTTCTTAGATAAGTTCCTTTAACATTTCACTTAATAAGGGCTTGGTGATGATTAACTCCTTTAACTTGACCTTATCTGGGAAGCAATTTATCTGCCCTCCATTCTAAATGAAAGCTTTGCTGCATAGAGCAATCTTAGATTTAGGGCTTGCCTTTCATGACTTGGAATACTTCTTTCCAGTCCCTTCTTGCCTACAAGGTTTAAGAAATCAGCTGACAGTCTTCTGGGGACTCCTTTGTAGGTAACTGTCTCCTTTTCTCTAGCTGCTTTTAAGATTTTCTCCTTCTCTTTAATCTTGAGTAATAGAATTATGATGTGACTTGGTGTGTGCTTCCTTGGGTCCAACTTCTTTAGGACTCTCTGGGCTTCTTGGACTTCCTGGATGTCTATTTCCTTTGCCAGATTGGGGAAGTTCTCCTTTATTATTTGTTCGAGTAAGTTTTCAATTTCTTGCTCTTCCTCTTCTTCCCCTGTGGAACATTTAAAGTTGTTCTGGAGGTTCCTGAGCCTCTCCTCATTTTCCTGAATTCTTGTTTTTACATTCTGTTCTGGTTGAGTGTTTACTTCTTCCTTCAGCTCCAAATAGTTGATTTCAGTCCTGGTTTCCTTCCCTTCACTGTTGGTTCCCTGTACATTTTCCTTTATTTCACTTTTCATAGCCTTCACTTCTTCCTCTATTTTGCAATCATACTTAACCATTTCTGAGAGCATCTGATTACCAGTGTTTTGAATTGTGCAACCGATAGGTTGGCTATTGGTTCACTCTAGTGTTTTTCTGGAGTTTTGATCTTTTACTTGGGCCATATTTTTTTGTATTGGCATACCTGTTAGGTTGTAAGGGGCAGAGCCTTAGGTATACACCAGGGTAAGGCCACCCACTTGGCTGCATTGTGGTGTTGTATGTGGGGGAGGGTCTAAGAGGAAACAACACTGCTTGCTCAGCTCTCATTGGACTTTGTCACTTCCCCCACTACCCACAAGCTAATTGGGCCTTTCTGGTGCTGATTCCTGGGTGGGTGGGTTTGTGTACATTCTAGGACCCTGTGGGTCTCTCCAGTGAACTCTCCTGTGAGGCTGGGAGTTTCTCTTATGGCCTCAATCCCCACAGGTGTTTTCATTCAGAGGTTTTGAGGCTTTACTTCCCTGAACTGGAACCCTGGGTTAGGTGCTCTACCTTGTTCCCCAGTTGTTCCTCCAGTTTATCTGCACCCAAATGTGGACCTGCCTGGTCCACCAGCCACCACCTCACCTGATCTGCAAGCTGCCGCCTTACCCACCATGGTCCTTCATCTGCTGCCTTACCATGAGTCCTCTGTGCCCTGGCTGCCCGTCTCTGCCCCTTCCACCAGTCTAGATGAGTGTTTCTTCCTTGATTCCTTGGTTGTCAGACTGCCATACAGTTTGATTTTTCTGGCAGTTCTGGTTGTTTTCTGTTTTTAAATTTGTTGTTGTCCTTTTGGTTGTGTGAGGACGCAAAGTATCTACCTAGGCCTCCATCTTGGTCAGAAGTTCACCTTCACATGGTGGTGGTTTCTTACAAAACTAAACATACTCTTACCATACAATCCACAAATCATGCACCTTGGTATTTATCCAAAGGAGAGGAAAACCTATGTCCACACAAAAACCTACGCATGGATATTTATAGCAGCTCTATTCATAGCTGCCAAAACTTGAAAACAACTGAGGTGCCCTTCAGTAGGTGCACGGATAAACTGTGGTATATCCAGACAATGGAATATTATTCAGCACTGAAAGAAATGAGTCATCAAGCTATGAAAACATAGAGGCAACTTAAATGCATATTGCTAAGTAGAAGAAGCTAATCTAAAGGCTATATACTGTTAATAATTCCAACTATGTAACATTCTGAAAAAAGGTGAATATCAGTCGTTGTGGGGGAGGGAGGGCAGGGTGGAGAGAAAGGAATAGGTTGAGCACAGAGGATTCTTAGGGCATGATATTCCAAATGGTAGATACAAGTCATTACTTATTTGTCCAAACCCATAGAATGTACA